GTCAAATTTGACTTTAAAATACTGAAACTTTTCCATGTGAGAAAGTAAAAAGAGTAACACATCCTCCTCCAGCCTTCAACTGTGCAACCGCCTTTGCAAGAGCTGAAAGCAGCCGGTGGGAGCAGCGACAGAACAATGCTCAGCCTCTGCCTCGCCGAGTGCGGTGATGCTGGTGAACACCCAAGAATGGCCAGGCAACTCGTCCCGGCAGCCAAGGCATGGAACCACCTACGGGTCCTCCCGTGGGCGATGGCTAGGAGACGCGGTACATAAATACAATGAAATACTGCTCAGCGGCAAGAAAGGCTGGAACAGCGCCACTTGCAACATGCATGGATCGGGAGAGTATCGCGCTAAGCGAAGGAAGTCAGACAGAAAGGGACAAGAACCTTAGGATTTCACTCATGTGGGCTATAAAACAGAAAACAACAAACCCAGACACAGACAACAGCATGGTTACCTGAGGGGAAGGGGGCAGGAGCGGGTAAAGGGGTCAAACACATGGTGACCCAAGGAGACGAGATTAGGTGGAGAACACACAACTCCTTATACCAGTGGTTCTCAACCTGTGGGTCGCGACCCCTTTGGGGGTTGAACAACCCTTTCACAGGGGTCGCCTAAGACCATCGGAAAACACATATAATTACATATTGTTTTTGTGATTCATCACTACGCTTTCATTATGTTCAATGTGTAACAATGAAAATACATCCTGCATATCAGATATTTACATGACGATTCATTACAGTAGCCAAATTACAGTGATGAAGTAGCCACGAAAATAATTTTATGGTTGGGGGTCACCACAACATGAGGAGCTGTATTAAAGCGCGGCATTAGGAAGGTTGAGAACCAACTCCTTACAGAGGATGGACCTGCAAAGCCTAAGCGGCGCTTCCACCCTTAGCTGTGACGGGCGCTGGCCACCAGGGGGCAGAGCTCCCGCCAGCAGGTCAGCCTGCAGCTGGGGTCCGGCCACGGGGACTGGGCTACACGGGCGGGCGGGGCACTCGAACTACCATTGTGCAAAGTTCCCGAAAGGAAACAAAAGTAGAAAGAAATACTGAACCACCCCCTTCGCAGCTGTCACGGCTTCAAACGGTGCCCGACAGACCCGCACTTCTCCCCCCGGGATCTGGCAGCAAACCCCCAGCATCTTTTCCTTCCATCAACACCCGTGCGTATCCGCGCCCGTAGGGAAACCCATCACCCCGAGCAGAACCGGAAACGCAGGAACCGTCAGCCGCCCCCGACTCGGAAACACCGTGTTCCGCACCGAGTCGCCGCCGGGAGCGGCTCACCCTCAGCGAACGGGCCTCAGACCGCACGGCTCCGGGGCGCCCGGGACGGAACCGGCGGCAGGAGAAGGAGTACGCGGGCAGCCGGCGCCCCGCCCCGGGCACGCCCTGCCTTCGGGGCCCCCGCCATCAGACACGGCTTCAGGCCAGAGCACTGGCGCCTCGGGAGCGAACGGGGAGCAACCGAGATCCTCGGGGTGACGGCCCCCAAAGCTCCCACCCCCACCCTCACTTCAGTCGGCACCTCGATTCCCCGAGACCCAGGTCGGGCACCTCGGTCCCGGTCCGCGATCCTCCCCCTAAAACTGTCCCTTTTCCGCAGGCGCCCTCCCGCAAGAGTCGCCTTCCCCTTCCCTCCCCGCCACCCTTCCTGAGCCTTTCCCTCGGGCTGTCAAAGGACCGGACGCCCCTCGAAACCCTCCCCCTATTTTTCGGGCCGAACTCGCCGACAAAGGTCCGGACGAGACAGAAACACGCACTTTACAACTGCCCGCCGAGAACCCAGGCCTGTAGCCCGGCGGGAGACGCAACAAAGCATCCCGGTCGGACCCCGCCGCGCCTCAGGCTCCGCTCGCTCGCTCGCAGCATCCTCTGCCGTCACAGCGGAGCGCGACGCCCGCGCGGGCTTTCAAACTGATCCAACATGGCGCCGGCTCGCGGTGCGCATGCGTGGCGCCCGGGCGCCCGGGGCGAGCCAGCCGAGGGGCGGAGTGCCGGAGGGGAACGCGGCGCCGCGGGGCGTTCGGTCGCGCTGCCTGATGGGAAGTGTAGTTTCTCCCCACGCCTCTCTCTGGGGTGGGTGTTCGTCCACGTACTACGTACGTCCACATCGCTGCCGCGCACGCCCCCCATCCCCCCACCTCGGTCTCCGCTGCTGGGGGCCAGTCTGCGCGGATGACCGACCGAGCCTCCTCCCTCCGGCTCCCGGGGCTGAGTGAGGGGACTCGGTCGGGGAGATTTGAGGCGCGTGCGGCTGACGTTTCGGGTCTCCGAGCGCCGGCCCCACCTCCCCAGTTCTTCCAAGTGAGCTGGTCTCCCCGCTTTCAGAGCACCCCTTTCCGGGATAAGGCATCACCTGGGCCAGGGGCAGCGTCCCCGGCCGCTGCCTCCCCTCCCCCCCCGAGTCACTTCCCCATTTTCTCCCCGAGCCCGGCCCTCCGGGGCTGCCCAGCCCCTCACACTCAAAGCAGATGCGGGATGGGAGGAAGGAGGGCTGGGATCCAGCCAACTCCGTGGGGACCTGGATTCCCAGGAAGAATGGCAGCGACCCAGTGCGGATGGGGGAGCCAGGCAGGCAGCCCGGGAAGAGGGAGATGATGCTGTACAAACCGATGTAAAGACCCACGTAACAACGTGTGTGAGCCGTCTGCAAGGCTGGCTCAGCCTCTGAGAAGCGAAGAATCCAGTTTCAACCAGGTGGTGGATCAAAAAAGATGCCATCGCGGTGTCGGGGGAGGCTTCCTTCCCACTGACCCTGCGGGCGAAGACACCTGGGTTACTCCAGCGGAACACACTCCGCGCGGCCCATGTCCCGCCACCAGGTGATGCAGGGCATTCTTGCTGTTTGCTCTCTTGTTTTCATCCTCTCTAGCCCACTGCACTTAATCTTCCCCTTTTTCTTAGCAAATGAAAAACATCCAGAAACGATAACATTCCGTTGAGTGGTTCAGTTAAACACATGTTTATTGTGGCAGTAAGTGCTAGGTGATTTGACAACGAATTGGACAGAGCCCCTGCGATTGACACTCTACCGGGATGTTTCTATCATCTGTGCAATTCCTAAAGCAGTCAATATCATGTATGTTGCTGGTTGGAAATAAATAACATATTTACTGATACAAATCCAGGTCAGGGGCCAGCCACAGACTGCTAATGGCATGAGCCTAAAAACTTAGGCTTTTTGCTCTGGCCGGTTTGGCTCAGTGGGTAGAGCCTCGTCTGCAGACAAGGGTTCTGGGTTCGATTCCGGGCAAGGGCACATGCCTGGGTTTTGGGGCTGATTCCCAGTAGAGGGCCTGCAGGAGGCAGCCAATCAACGATTCTCTCTCATCATTGATGTTTCTATCTCTCTCTCCCTCTCTTTTCCTCTCTGAAATAAATATGTATTTTTAAAAAGTTAGACTTTTAAAATCCACGTTCCACCTAAATGTTTTTTTAACCTGTCATTCTTTAAAATAATTGAACAGTTCTTTTCATTGACAGTATCTTTAATGTTTCACTTACTACCTTTTTCTTCCATCTCGGAGCATATGTAATGTGCACATGTTTCCTGATAAGAGCATAAAGTGTAAATAAAGGACACTGAGAAGATATACAGGAACATATCAAATAAATTGATGTAATTCATGGATAAAAATAATTCGACTTCCACTTTGTTCCTTCACAGTTTAAGAGATATGGAGACCTCCAGGAGGATTTGGAGAAGAGTCCCAATAGTTATTAAAATTCTGGACTAGATCTATTAGGAAAGATAAACTAAGAATCTACCAGGAAAGAGGAGTTACAGTGGTTTATGAAAGCTTTTCAAGTAGAGATGTCAACCAGGTGTCATGCCTTGATGGAGAACTAAACAGGAGAAAATAGATTTACGTTCCAACCTAAAGAGCTTTAGGTGAGAGCTAAGGAAGACATGTCCTGATAATTAAACTTTAAGAAGGTTTATTGAGGCAGCTCTTTGGAGAGTTTCTTTAAAAGGTAGTTCTAGATGTGTCCATTTTAAGAACAGAAACTAACCTTTTTGATCACCAAGAAGGGTCTCCACACTTTCAATCCCTTTTACACATATTAACTCAATCCTTACGGTGAACCCATGAGATAGGTATTATTATCTGTGTCTATGAAGAAAAGGCATAGATATGAAAGTTGAAATTCAAGTTAAGCAATTTATCCAAAATGATATAGCTGGTGTGAGTGGCAAAGGCAGGATTTGAATCCAGCTCTGTGTTGTCACCCTCTTCCCACCACACCAGCCAGCTTCTCTTAACTGAAAACTAGGTGATGGGCCAAAGGATCAATGAGACTCCAGCTCCTGAGCTCATTCACGGCAGAAACAATATCTTACTCAAGCGTATTTGCCACACCTACCTCAATACCTAACCCCTACTGCATTGATTCTAACTTTATATCCCGTCTGACATTTAAACAAAGACGCCAGTGAAGAGCGGTCATCCATCCATATTGGGGAAGAGTGTTACAAGCAGAGGGAACAGCAAGTACAACGGCCCTGAGGTAGGAAGATGCTTAGTTGCTTTTGAGGAACAACAGCTAAGTGGGAGAGTCGAAGACAGGAGTTGCCGTTGGAGAGGAAGCCAGGGGTCACATCATTTAGAGCCACTGCCACTCACTTTTAAAAGGTTAATTTCCAAGAACACCTGGTCAACAGATTGTGGTGCTTTACAAAAGCAAAAAAGCATGATTAAGCTGATAGAAATAATAATGATTTTTTGGTTGTTAATATGCCTAGCAAGGGGGTAGGACATTTAAGTGCATTATCTCACTTAATCCTCACATCTCTTCTACAGGGTTAGGTACTATCCCAGTTTTAAAGCTTGAGAAAACGGGGAAACAGAAATATCAAATAACGTGGTTCACAATTAGCCCATGGCAGAGACAGGAGGTGAGCCAGGTCTCTCTTGAGGCCAGAGCCTAGCCTTTGGACGATGCCACATCCACATTTTCTCATTGCGAACAGGGAGGAAGGGACTCTTGCCTGTGGGCATTCAACAAGTAATTATTGTTCACTGCCCTGTGAGCAGCACTGTAGAAACAGTAATCAAATGTAACACAGCATTTTAAAACGCTTTGCATGATCACATTCTTACCAATCATTTCTTTTTAAAACTTTGCAGGTAGATGGACTATAAGGTACTTGCCCAACAAACCACTCAAGATATTTTAGGTTACAGTCAAGATACATCAGGCTGGAAAGTGGCTAAATCTTCAGTAAGAAAACAAATATGTTTCAAGTTTTTGTTTTTAAATGAGAAACAATTGATTTAAAAAAAATTTTTTTTTTTTTACAAACCGTTTACTTTTGCTTTGTTTTATTTTGTTGTTGTTTTTTACTTTTTTTTTCTGTACTTGACAGCTAACTTATTTGTTAATATTTTTTTTCCCTTTGAGAAAAAAATAACTGTTTCTAGTAAGCCTTCTAAAACATTCCATGGAAATATGTAAGTACAATTTCCTATTTGCAATTATTGTTTTGAATTCAGTGGCATTTATGTATCTAGAATTTAAAGTTTGCTGACCTCTCATTTATACCTCATTACATACTTAAATTAAGAATTGGGGCTGAAAGGGGCTGCATAGCCACACAAACTTCTATATCAATTACTGCTGACTTATTATAAACACAGCAGATAAATGTTTATAAGAAAGATTTTAGAAAAATCCTAAATGAAATTTTCCCCTCTAGAAAAATAACTACAGCGCAGCTGGCATGGTGCAGTGATTGAGCATAAACCTATGAACCAGGAGGTTGAGGTTCGATTCCTGGTCAGGACACATGCCCGGGTTGTGGGCTCGATCCCCATGGGGAGATGCAGGAGGCAGCAGATCGATGATTCTCTCTCATCGTTGATCTTTCTCTCTCTCCCTCTCCCTTCCTTTCTGAAATAAAAATATTTTTTAACATTCCACTCATTTGTGGAATATAATGAACAACATAAACTGATGAACAAAAACAGATCCAGAGACAGAGAAGCAACGATCAGACGGTCAAACCTCAGATGGAAGGTAGGGGAGGGTGGGGGGAAGGGGGAGAGACCAACCAAAGGACTTATATGCAAGCATATAGGCCTAACCAATGGACACAGACACCAGGGGGGTGAGGACATGAGTGTGGGGGCGGGGGGTAGGGGGTAACGTGGGGATAAGGACACATATGTAATAACTTAATAAAAAAATTAAAAAAATCTTCAGGAACATTATAAACAAAGTTTTTAGAAAAATGAACTTTGAAGTAATTTATATTAATTATTATAATATATATTTAAATAAACCTTGCTACTTCTAATTGAATATTAGTGTTTTGAATTGCTGATATGAACCTCAAATTTTCTTTACTGTTGATTGCTAAATTAGTCTGTGTTATACTATGACATTATATTTTCAACTTAGACTGAATTAAATTTTGAATTTTCTTTATTTTGCTAACTATAGATATCGTGTTGAAGGAATAATTTCAGAATCAACATCTAAACTAGCTGATTTCCTCTACAAGCCTGAAATTAGAATTAAATGGGACAAATCATTGAAAGTGTACAGTATGATACACAAGATTGATTCGGTAATTTGTTGTTTAATATTAAACTTTTCCTGTATTAATATATTTTTAGTTTTATATCTTAGTGATTTAAGTTTATTAAACCTATGTTAGGTAGACACTTCATATTTTATAGATTCACATTGAGTTGAAATCTTTATAAAAGCCTTAAAACTTCCTTCTTTATCACTCAAGAGTTTAATTACAGTTAGCTTCTTTCTGTTTTAAATGCACACCACATTCTGAATCTGGTTAGCTCTCTTGAAGGTGTGTGCCTTTGGTTATGAGGGGACAAACTCCTGGATTCTCCAACATTAGGTGGAGAAAAGACTAAACGTGCCTTGTTAAAGGGAAGTCAGTATATTTACATTAGTCACTAGAGGCCTGGTGCACAAATTTGTGGGGATAAGGACAAATTCATGCACCAGTGGGAGGTCCCTCAGCCTGGCCTGTGGGATCAGGTTGAAACCGGCTGTCTGACATCCCTCGAGGGGTCCCAGATTGCGAGAGGGCACAGGCCAGGCCAAGGGACCCCACCGGTGCACAATCGGGGCTGGGGAGGGATGCGGGAGGGCCCCAGGGCATGTCTGGCCCATCTTGCTCAGTCCTGATGGGCCGGATCCCAGCAGCAAGCTAACCTACTGGTCGGATCGTCTGCCACTGGTGGTCAGTGCACGTCATAGCAACTGGTTGACTGGTCAGCTGTCTGCCCCCTGGTGGTCAGTGCATGTCATAGCGAGCGGTTGAGCAGCCTTAGCATATTATGCTTTGATTGGTTGAATGGATGACCGGACACTTGGCATATTAGGCTTTTATTATATAGGACTAGAGGCCCAGTGCACAAAAATCTGTGTACTTGGTGGGTCAGGGGCTGCACCCTTTCACAGTCCGGGACCCCTCGGGGGATGTCCACCTGCTGGCTTAGGCCTGCTCCCCGGGGGGATCGGGCCTAAGCTGGCAGTCAGACATCCTCCTGGCAGCCCAGGAGCCATCTATCGGACATCCTTAGCGTTGCCAAGGAGGTAGGAGAGGCTCCCGCCACCCCGCTGTGTTTGCAGTCATCAGCCTGGCTTGTGGCTGAGCAGAGCTCCCCCTGTGAGAGTGCACTGACCACCAGGGGGCAGCTCCTGTGTTCAGCATCTGCTCCCTGGTGGTCAATGCGCACCATTGCAACTAGTCAATTTGCATATTACCCTTTTATTATATAGGATAATAGCTTAGATAACAGGAACAATGCAGACACATACCATAGGGACTTAAGAAGGAACAGCATGTAATGTAATTAAAGAGAAGGATAAAGTGTGAAATAACATATACATGGTTGTGGTTTTAGAAACAGTTTAAATACATTATCTCAGTTAAATGAAGATGAAGAGAGAGGGAAAACAATGAGGAAAGAAAATATAAATAATTGGTGTAGAAAGTGATCATAGAAGCAAGTAGGGCTTAGAAGAGGGGAGGAGAAAAGATCAGTATGAGCTGAGGGTAGATATGTGCATATATGCCTAGTCTATGGACACAGACAATAGTGTGGTGAAGGCTTGGGGTGGAGTGGGAGCTGAGTAGAGGAGATCAAAGGTGGGGGGAGCAGAAATGGGGGACATCTGTAATATTCTCAATAATAAAAATAAAAAAGAAAATTCAGGAGAAGAAAAATATGATATAAATGAAAGTAATAATGACATGTACAAAGAGGTAGAAACAAGAAGACAGAAGTGGGGTAAGGGATTCTGAACTTGGGAGCAGTTCACTAGATCTCTTATTAAGACTGCTACACTTTATGGTATGTAAATTACAGCTCAGTAAGATGTTTTTAAAAATTGAGTTGCGCAATTTTGGCTAACAAAAACTTTATTAGAAAGAGGTGGCAAATGTGGATGTTAGCAAACTTTTATGATTTTCACAAACAATTGCATTTATAAAACTCCACATCACTGGGTCTTTGGCTCTTTGAGTCTCCAAACTACATTCCACTTATCAAAAGAAACAAATGTCCCACAAATAAATCTGTCACCATTTTATCATTTATTTACAACTCTGTAGGTTAACTTTGCCTGCTTTCATTAAGCTGATTTTAAAGTCTGGGAGTTGCGGGGAGAAGCCCAGAAAGGTAAGTCAGGTAACAAACAACACACATCCATGACCCTCTTGGGATCTGTACCTTTAGTTTGAGAAATATGGTCCAGCCCTGGTTTGGCTCAGTGGATAGAGTGTTGGCCTGCGGACTGAAGGGTCCCAGGTTGGGTTCTGGTCAAGGGATTGTGCCCGGGTTGCAGGCTTGATCCCAGTAAGGGGTGTGCAGGAGGCCACCAATCAATGATTCTCTCTCATCATTGATGTTTCTATCTCTCTCTCCCTCTCCCTTCCTCTCTGAAACCAATAAAAATATATTTAAAAAAAGAAAAAGTAAATAATAAAAAAAAGAAAAATGTGGTCCATCGCAAATGAAAATCCAAACATTGGATTGTTTCATTCATGATTGTATTAGACTAATTATATAGTTCCATCAGCACTTCAGGTCTTTCTGCTGTTGCTGCAACTCAGCTGTAATAATGGAAAGAATACAAGACTTAGCACCAAAAAACTTGAAAATAGAGTCAGAGAAATTATGTGACATGCTCAAGGTCAGCACAGCCAGTATATGATAGAACCAGGGGTTTATACCTGATCTGATCCCAAATTCTAGGCCCTTTACAGTATACCACACTACCTCTGAATAGCTTTATCCTATAAAAGAATTATTTTACCTTCTTATGAATATTTATGGTGTTCCTCTTTAGGAGTGTGTTTTAGTTGACTCATTCATCCCATTGGTGAGCTCAGGATTCCTGACCAAAGGTTACAGGGGTGGTAAAACATGATACCTGCCACTAGGCAAATGAGATCAACAGTAGTTTATTAATAATTAATCTCAGCCCAGAGGAGGACTGTTATTTTGTTAACATTTGTGAAGTGGAGCCTAGGGTGCCGGATGGTGAGCCGTGTTTCAACAACAGCTCATAAGAGAAATTGAAATTAGTCACAGGTCCTGGAGGAAGCACACTGAAGCCTCAAGAGGCCACGCAGGAAGAGCAAGGCAGGTACAGGCAGGGCCGGGCAGGGCCTGAGGCACATGTCTTTGTTAGGGTCTGTGGGTGGGGTGTGCAAGGGAATTCCCAGGCTAAGACCTGATCGGTCAACTCAAACCAAGAAGAGCAGTGTTTCGGTAAGCTCCCTGGGGTGTTTTATCTAAGGGGTCACCAGAGGAAGGAGGCCCTGCGAGGCTGGGGAGACTGTTGAACCCAGGACTATTGGGACAGTTGTATCAGAGCTTGCATTTGCTTGTGAGTGTGGGCTGGTATCCTTGGCATGCACTTGTATGAGGGGGCTAGTGTCAGTTTAAGGCCCCTGCAGGCTGCTTGGCCAAACAAAATGGATGCTGAGGCAATACCATGCAATGGCCTGGCTAACCTCAAGGATACATCATGCCAGGCTGTACGTCATGGGAGCTGTACCGGGGGACAGAGAATAACCAGGGAGTCAGGCTTTATAGTACCAAAAGGTTGAGATGACCCCGAATCCTGCAGGAGGATGCACTTGGCTGTTGGAATAATTCTTGAGGCTAGCAGACACTGTGCCTGATCCAGTCAATAAAGAGGGTTGTTTGGCTAAAGTCCGTATCCATGGGAACAGTCAGGAGAGAAACTTGCAGTTAGGCCATTTAAGACCCTATTTTCACCAGATGTCAACACATAATATTGGTCACTTAATTTTAGGCCTTACACCATAGGTGCTAAATCAATATACTTTTCATAATATATTAGCTAGCCAATGTGGAATAGTTGTACTGGGAATCAGGGAATCTGGGTTCTAGTTCTGTACTTATCCCTAGTTATCTGTTAGGCTTTAATTTCTTCATTTAAAATGTCAAAGTGTAGATGATATAAAGAGTACTTTTGAATTTTACGTATTAATAATTATATAAATAGATATATGATTTAAAAATATTTTCTCTAATTCTGTAGGTTCCCTTTTCATTTTTTAAAATAGGTTTTTATTGATTTCAGAGACGCAGGGAGAGGGCGAGAGAGAATCATTGGTCAGCTGCCTCCTGCATGCTCCTTACTAGGGATTGAGCCTGCAACCTGGGCATGTGTCCTGAACAGGAATCTAACTGTGATCTCCTGGTTCATTGGTTGACACTCAACCACTGAGCCACACTGACAGGGCCCCTTTTCATTTTGTTGATGGTTTCCTTTGCTGTGCAGAAGCTTTTTAGTTTGATGTAGTCCCGCTTGTTTGTTTTTGCTTTCGTTGTCTTGTACTTATAATAATACCTAATGTTCCTTTAACACAGAAAATGCAGGCTGATAGGGTGATAAGTTCTTAAAATTGCAAAGTCCTGCTTTTTCCAAGTAGAGGCCAATCTTCTACAGTGAAATTCTTTGGGGAGCAGTACAAGGAATAGATATTTACTAATTGTTGCAATCTTTATGGTTTGATTTGTTTCAGGACACATTCATATGTCATGCCATTACACAAAGTTTTGCCATGGGCTCAATTTCCCCCCGAGACTTTGTCGACATAGTGCACAGCAAGTGCTATGAAGGGAATGTGTATGTGATCAGTTGTAAGTTGAAACATTTTGCCCACATTTTAGAATTACTATGAGTTATTAATAATTTTTCCCTTTAATTCACATTTTGGAAGAAATATATTTTCAATTATTTATTTTTTATTTATGTGGTGAGACTAATACATACATGTATAATGTATACCAGCCTGCTGTTTTTACCCTACTCTGGAGGTGCCTTTTACATCATAGTCAATGGTGTGGCATCTCCTGGCCTTTTTGCAGCATATAACCACACCACTGAGTACAGGTAAATAACTGTAGGCTGAAACTACACAGCAAACATTTCAAAACTACTGAGAAACAAAAGTAATCTTTAGATATATCATTTTATATTTGAACTAGAGGCCCGATGCATGAAGATTTGTGCAAGAATGGGCCTTCCTTCCCCTGGCTGCTGTCACCGCCTTTGCTCTGGCAGGGGCCACCTTTCTGCTTTCCATCTGGCCCAGAGCTGCCTTTCCGCCTTCCCACGCTGCCCAGAGACCCAGAGCGGCTGGGGTAGTGCAGAATGCCTGCATCTCGCCCCGCCCCCGGCCGCTCGGCACCCATGTATGCTAATTAACCCGCCATCTTTGTTGGGATAATTTGCATACTCCTGATTGGCTGGTGGGCGTCACGAAGATATGGTCAATTAGCATCTTTGTCTTTTATTAGTGTAGATTGCATAGAATGAGCTTATCCAATAACTGACAAAACTCCTATTTTTACTGGGTGGGTCTTTACACAATGTGCTTATATTTCTTTTAGAAGGTTGGGGTTTTGATGTATCCTTAGCCTCCCAAAATATGTCAGCCAGTAAAACCCCAGTGTGTGACCATTTCTTAATGTGTATATTCACTTGAAACATTACCAGTTCATACCATGAAGATCTTTGGAGCCAGACAACTCCAGATAAGTCATGATGAAGGATCTTTGGCAGGACAGCGGCCTAGAGCCCTGTTTCTCTCCACAACTCAATTTAATCTGACCACTACTATCTGAATAGCTTTCCGTACTGTAAGCTACCTGGAGATAGGGACAGTTAAGTGTTGTCAATTACTATTTCCCAACAAGGTTTCTGATATGTCCGTGGTACTAAGTTTCAGAGTCCAGAGCTGTGCTAATAGCACTCACACACACTTAGCTCAGGTGCAGCATGCCACTAAGGACTGATGTTCACCCTTTCATATAGCTGTCATTTAGTTACCTCGTTGTTAAAACGGGCAGATGAAAATCGATTCACTGTCTACAACGCAAAGTGGTGTCTGAGTCATAGATCTGCGATTTCTGTGTTTTGAAAGCAGACCATTTCTGTCTCATTTTTAAGGGTAAAAAAGAAGTCTGAAATCAAAATCAACAAATGGTTGTGACGAGTCATTCAGTGATCAGTACTGAATTTGCTTTAAGCACTTTCTTTGAATTAATTATCAATGAATACACATAGTTTTCTTCTTCACCTTTCTTTTGCTGTTGTTCACTTTACTATGCTTTGAGTTAAATGTTTTGCATGCTTTATCACACCAGTACGGAAACTGAAGTTCAGAGGAAACAAGTTAGACAGCAATAAGCTGCTGAACCAGAATTAAAACACAAGTCTTTCTAATTTTCCAAAATCAGTACTAACTACCAACCCAGTATCACTCACAAAAGACCCATATCTGTTCGTGGAATAAAACAAATTTTCTTTTACGAACAAGCATAATCTCCATATTTTAAACAGGGAAAATATGTTAATATCACTTCTGGAAGTATCATTATGCCAACAGAATAGACTCTGTTAAGGTGATGAAACAAGTAATAAAAATGGAAAATTCATTCAACCACACTTGTTTCCTAAGCTAGACCAAAGCTAATGCTTAACATTGTACTTCCCACAGAATTGATAGCTTATGTTAAAATCACATGGGAAAATCCATCTTCTCTGACAAGAGCAGGATTCAGTTGCACAGAATACATATATTTAAAAAATATTTTTTGAAAGAGTACATATAATTATCATAAACAATCATTATCAAAACACCTCCCTTCTGTATTCAGATTCAATACAATTATACTGCATAATTCCTAAAACAACTCTACTGATTTTTTAAAACATATTTTTATTGATTTCAGACAGGAAGGGAGAGAAAGAGAATCATTTATGAGAGAGAATCATTGATTGGCTGCCTCCCGCACGCACCCTTACTGGGGAATCAAGCCTGCCACCTGGGCATGTGCCCTGATTGGGAATCGAACTGTGACCTTCTGGTTCATAGGTCGATGCTCAACCACTGAGCCACACCAGTCGGGCAAACTTCTGATTTTTAATTATAATTTGAATTTAGAGAATTTGCAGAAAGGGACATTTAAACTATCTTCTTTGACATGCCAAATAAATACATCCAATATTTTATTTAAAAATGATTTAACAAAAAATCTATAAACCCATTCTCCTAATAGCCTTTTTCTTTGTGACTTCTTTTGCTTCAAATCTCAGAAAGTAATAAAATGATACTTTGAACAGTTCTTCTTGTATGTAAAAGGTAACAATAGCATCTTTAGAAATACTAGCATGAAAACGTTTGAGAGGACATTGGTGCTCAAACTGGTATTTTCTCAGTTTTGGCCTATGCACACATTCATACGTACAAACATACAGCCCATGTATAAAATCAATGTCAGTGCTGATAATACCTAAGTTAAATTAAAAGCTGTGTTATATATATACATTTTAAAACACGCTACTTGAAATAGGATTTTTTACCTTTGTGGAAGAGGTTTCATTTTATTTCTTTTTAAATCACTTAGCTAAAAGTGTGGATTTTCCAGGATATCCTCCATCTTCACATTACATCCGTGGTTATAACCATGCTTGTGGCTTTGTCTGTTCACCTCTGAAAGAGTAAGTATCATTTGCATTTATTTATTGTAACAGTTTTTAAGTTCGATTTGTGATTAAATTAAAGGATCCCTAACTCATTAGTAGAATATGTACCAGCACATTCTATTGGGGGAAAATGGCCCCTAATAGAATATGATCTTTAAAATAATTGTTATAAGTATTTTCATATGAAGTATAATCAGAAAAGATAATTCACTATAAAGTATGATTTGAGGTTTCTGGGACAAGTCACACATACACAAAGTTTTTCCCCTCTGGGGTTAACATTAACCTGATGTTTTATATTTCTTCATAGAGTCAGTTCTCTGAATTACTAAGGAATATTTGTGAATTGAAAATAAATTCCCTAGAATTATAATACAGTTACATTTATCAGCAATGAATGCTTTATCTTGAACACATTCTTTCTAATAGACTGCCTACTAAGAACAGATTCCTTCAAAATGAGACTTCTGGTAGGTAAATTCAGATAAGAGTTGGAAATCAGAAATGAGTCATTGCCTACAGATGGCCAGTCTAGCGATAATAAAAATGGTAACATAAAATACCATTCTGTGAGTTCATGTACATTAACTTACTGTATATCATTTCACAAAATCCTTAAGTTTTAATTTTTGCTAAATGATTTTATATTAAGTAAAAAATATTGGTACATAAAGATAAACGTAAAAACTTTATATTGGTCCAATATAAACTTCAATATGAGAAAAATATTTATGCGAATGAAGTAAAAATAAAATTACATTTTAGACCTGTATTCCTTATGAATATCATACTAGTAAATATTGACTACTTAAAAATTTGTTATAATGCCCTTATAAATGTATTTTATAGAATACAAATTCCATAACATATTACATTATCAATTTAAAAACATATACAACCTTTAAATAAGATTTTTACATCATTCCTTGTCTCCTTGAACCCGTATTTTTACTCTTTTTCTCTCACATAACTTTATCCTAGTAAAATATGCTTTGTGTTTTGAATTCTTTTTTTTGTTTTGTTTTGTTTTTAAATTAAATCTTTATTGTTCAGATTATTACATTTGTTCCTCTTTTTTCCCCCCATAACTCCCCTCCTCCCAGTTCCCACCCCAACCTCCGCCCTCACTCCCACCCACTGTCCTCATCCATAGGTGCACGATTTTTGTCCAGTCTCTTCCCGCATCTCCCACACCCCTTTCCCCCCCAGGAATAGTCAGTCCATTCCCTTTCTATGTCCCTGATTCTATTATGATCACCAGATTATTTGTTCACTTGATTCTTAGATTCACTTGTTGATAGATGCATGTTTGTTGTTCATAATTTGTATCTTTACCTTTTTCTTCTTCTTCCTCTTCTTAAAGGATACCTTTCAGCATTTCATATAATACTGGTTTGGTGGTGGTGAACTCCTTTAGCTTTTCCTTATCTGTGAAGCTCTTTATCTGACCTTCAGTTCTGAATGATAGCTTTGCTGGATAAAGTAATCTTGGTTGTAGGTTCTTGGTATTCATCACTTTGAATATTTCTTGCCATTCCCTTCTGGCCTGCAAAGTTTCTGTTGAGAAATCAGCTGACAGTCGTATGGGTATTCCCTTGTAGGTAACTGAGTTTCTTTCTCTTGCTGTTTTTAAGATTCTCTCTTTATCTTTTGCTCTTGGCATTTTAATTATGATGTGTCTTGGTGTGGTCCTCTTTGGATTCCTTTTGTTTGGGGTTCTCCGCGCTTCTTGGACCTGTAAGTCCATTTCTTTCACCAGGTGGGGGAAGTTTTCTATCATTATTTCTTCAACTAGGTTTTCAATATCTTGCTCTCTCTCATCTTCTGGCACCCCCATAATTCTGATGTTGGTATGCTTGAAGCTGTCCCAGAGGCTCCTTACACTATCTTCATATTTTCGGATTCTTTTTTCATTTTGCTTTTCTGGTTGGGTGTTTTTTGCTTCTTCACATTTCGAATCTTTGACTTGATTCTTGCGCTCCTCTGGTCTGCTGTTGGGTGTCTGTACAATATTCCTTATTTCAGTCAGTGTATGCTTAATTTCTGGTTGGTTCTTTATCACAATATCGAGGGTCTCATTAGATTTCTTGAGGATCTCACTACATTTATCGGCGGTCTCACCAGTCTTTTCGAGGGCCTTACTAAGTTTATCGGCAGCTTCTAGACAGTTCTTGAGAGACCTTAAAAGTGTGGTTTTGAGCTCTATATCTTCCATTTCTGACATTTGCCTGAATTCTTTTATTAATCATTCTATCATAGTTCTCTGCAAAAATGAGTATTTAATTTTCAAAATTAATTTTATTTTCTGTGACTATAAGCATCTAAATATTAAAAATATAAGTGTGGGGGAATAAGGACACATATGTAATACGTTAATAAAGAAATTTAAAAATTGAAAAAATAAAAATATAAGTGTGTGTGGGATTAAATTATTATTACATATTTATCAAAGCAGATAACATATTACCAAATATGTTACCTGGTGTATAATTATTAAAACTGTTATTGGAAACACATTTTTTTATTACTAGCCAAACTTAGATAGCACTTACTATGTGCTGGGAACTATTATAAACAATTTACATATATTGATTGATTTGGCCCTCACATTAACTCCACGAAGTAGGTAGTGTTACTGTCTCCATTTTACAGAAGATAAAATGGAAGCTCAGAGAGATTAGGTAACTTTTCAAGGTTCCACATGGGTAATAGCAAAGCTCAGCTTTAACCAACGCAGACTGTTCCAGAGTCTGTGCTTCTACCAGCCACACTCGTTTACCTGTGGATCAGTAGTACTGGCACTAATAAAATGAGGCAACGCTTATTATCAAGTCCACTTCTACTTTGCATTTTATAAATATAAGCACTGAGAAATTTTGTTCACATAAATACGTGGGTTAAAATGGAAAGAGTATAAGTCTAGCACTGCCCTTCAATCCCTTTAACTTCATCTGAGCTATGTACCATAAATTATAGTAACCTATAATCAAAAACTTTTTCATGACCTATCAACAGACAACTAAATTAGATCCTTAAGTTTTATTTAAGCAAAGAATTGACAACATGACTGGGTAAGGATTTTCACCCAGTCATTAGCCATTCCCTTTCTTTCTTTCTTTTTTTTTATTTTTATTTTTTTATTATTAAAGTATTACAAATGTGTCCTCATCCCCATTAACCCCCAACCTCCCCCTCCCCGCCCCGCACAGTCATGCTCCCATCCCCCTGTTGTCCATGTCTATTGGTTTGGCTTATATACATGTATACAAGTCCTTCGGTTGATCTCTTCCCCTTACCCCCGCCCTCCCCTACTTTCCTTCTGGGGATTGATAGCCTGATCGCTGTTAGCCATTCCCTTTCTTAACTCACATCCAATAGACGAAAGTTTCCCTTTGTCATCTCAAAGGTGTTTGCATGCCAGGGTAAAGCATCACTGTACCTTCTTTTCTGATTTCTTTCCTTCCTTCCATAGCTATGTATCCTATCATAATCACTATGGAGAGACTTCACTGTGAATAAGACAAGCCTATAAATTCAATAGATAAATCATTTCTATTAGGGGTTGGGGGTGACAGGTATACCTTCATTTTGAAAAGCAAGAGAAGTGTGACGTGAAGAGGCTGGTGGGAAAGGAAAAGCCCACATCTCCATCAGAGACATATTCTCAGATCAGTTTAAGGAAAAGATACATGGGGTAGTTAGAGTTTTGAAAAGGTATTCCCTTAGCTCTAGCTAGTTTGGCTCAGTGGATAGAGCGTCAGCCTGCAGACCAAAGGGTCCCAGGTTCGATTCTGGTCAACGGCACTTACCTTGGTTGCAGGCTCCTTCCCTGGCCCGGGCCCTGGCTCATGCAGGAGGCAACCAATCAATGTGCTTCTCTCACATTGATGTCTCTCTCTGTCTTTCCCTCTCTCTTCCACGCTCTCTAAAAGTCAATGGAAAAATATCCTCGGGTAAGGATTTAAAAATATAATAAAAATTTTTTAAAAAAATGTATTCCCTTAAAAATTATTCATCTTCTTGTACTCCTTGGAAAGGCTTCCCATAGCCCAGTTTAAAGATCACTGGGTCAGAATATAAAAAAAACTAGTCTCTTGGAGGGCAATTTGGAAATAACACTAAAATGTTAAATGTACAAAACCCTTGACTTAGAAATTCAGTGTATTTATAGAAGTGCAAACAGATATATTACAAAGATGTTTATTGCAGCTTTATCGCCACAAAAAGTGAGAAATAATCCAAATGGTAGTCAATAAAGAACTGGTTAAGTGGAGTATGAAACACTGTATGCAGTCATGAAAAACAATCAAGCTGATCTATATGTATTGATACAGAAAAATGTGCATGATGTCCTGCTATGAGGAAAGTAAAATCAGTTGCAGAAAAATAAACACATCTCATTTTTATATAAACAAAAATGTATATGTGTGTATATGTGGGGTACATCTGTGTACATATGTGTGCTGTCTTTGTATACATTTAGACAACCATCCGAAAAGATACAGTCAAAACTATAAGTAGTGATTTTCTCTGAGGAACAGGATGAAGGGAACAATTATGACAATTCTGTATTTAAATTCTCAAAAGCACACATTACTTTTGTAATTTAAAAGTAATGTGACAAAAAGGAAAAGCTGACTAAAACTGAAGACTGAAAGACTGTAAGTCGGACTAGTTACTGTTTTCATGTAAAACGTGTATGAGTGTAAAAATCACTGTACCTGTCCTTTCTTCTCTTCTTCCTTCCATAGCAGTGTGTCCTATCATAATCACTATGGAGGACTCCACTGTGAATAAGACAAGCCTGTAAATTCCATAGATAAATCTAAAGATTATTTATGTTTTTAATTCTTCCTTTGTTTACAGTAATCCAGAGCATTCCAAAGTAGTGATGTTTGTCCAGACAGAAATGAGGGGGAGATTGTCCCCATCAATAATTGAAGCAACTATGCCTTCCAACTTAGTGAACCTCATCCTCCATGTAAAAGATGGAATAAAGACACACAAAGCTCCCCCAGAACGTGGACGTCATCATAGCTGCCACTCGCTCCGTAAGAAGAAATGAGGCTGTTGATAATGAGGCCATATAAAATCATGTGTAGCAGTTACTGCAGTTTACTTCTAAGTCAATATGCATAATGACTGTTAAACTACTCTGGACAGTACTCTTGTACACATTACTGAAGGTACATTGTGGAAATGAGAACTCATAGTCATACAAGAGAACAGTCTTAAATATAGTTTTGAATCGCATATAAGACTGATGTTCAATAACAAGTGTTTTTTGTTTTATTTTTTTTAAATTATATTTTTATTGATTTCAGAGAAGAAGGGAGAGGGAGAGAGAGAAACATCCATGATGAGAGAAACATGGATTGGCTGCCTCCTGCACGCCCCCTACTGGGGACTGAGGCCACAACTCGGGCCTGTGCCTTGACAGGGAATCAAACCATGGCCTCCTGTTTCATAGGTTGATGCTCAACCACTGAGCAACACCGGCTCGGCCAATAACAAGTGTTCTTTTTCTTTTTAAATATATTTTTATTGATTTTAGAGAGGAAGGGAGATGGAGAGATAGAAACATCAATGATGAGAATCATTGATCAGCTGCCTCCTGCATACCCCCTACTGGGGATTGAGCCTGCAACCCAGGCATGCACCCCTGACCTGAATCAAACCCGGGACCCTTCGGTCCCCAGGCCAACACTCTATCTACTGAGCCAAACTGACCAGGGCAACAATTGTTCTTAATGCCCTTTTATCTTTTGCTTTTTCCCCCTGGAAAATGTTCTGCAAAAAAGTCAATAAGAAAGCATAAATAGTAAGAGATCATCACTAATTAAAGATTAAAATATATTTTAAATTGGTTTTCCTTCACTTACTGCTTAAAATTGATAATTGTAAGAAACATGAACATAAAACTGAAAAGAATTACACTGGAATTATGACCAATGATATCTAGCATTTAAAATTGAATGAGTCATGAATCAAGTTCTGGTTCTAGCCAAGATGTAGTAGCTCATCCTCCCAAGTCCTTTTTCTCTTATAAGTAAGAGACTCTGCATATAACAACAAACAGGCATAGGAAGATGAGTAGAGGTGGAAAGGGCGCAAACTTCCTAGGGACTTTGGGACTTGAGAAATGACATAGCAGTGAGTTCTCGGTTTCCTTGTTGCCTCCCATATATTCAGGACAAGGCACCAGCTACAGAAGGCTCCAACCTGGAACCACCCATAGGCAGGAACAACAAAAGTTTCTAGAAAAAGCCTATTACTCCTAGTCATAGGACTGACTATAAATGAGAGGGTGGCCTACCCGAACAAAATCTCTTTGACAATACCTACCCATCACCAGTCAAACAGAAATCTAAGAATTGCACCCGCCTCACCCTACAGTTAGAGCGGGGCCAAGCAGAGCGATCTTCCACCCCACCTTGCTCATGAACCACAGAAGCAGGTGGTGTTGGCAAGGCTGAGCAAGGAGCCAGTCTTCCCTGTGCCCTGCCAGAAGCAGGCAGCACTCTGAGCCCCTTCCAGGTGGTGCAGGCTGGCCCAGCAGGGAGCTGATTTCCCACCTCCCACCGCAGAAGCAGGTAGCAGGGCTTTGTATCCCTGCTGGGTAGTGTCAGTGGAGTCAGGTGGCAAAGTGAGCCTCCACCTCACCTCACAGCAGCAGACAGCCAGCTAGTGCAAAGAAGGGCTCGTCACATCCGGCTTCACTGCCCTCCCTTGATCCCGTGTCACCCAGGCCCACTGAGATGCTGAGCCACCATCCCCACCAGCACGTTTTCTCCTCTGCAGTATGTTGAATGGTGGCCCCCCAAAAGCCATGTCTTTGTCAAATCCCTGGAACCCTGATTCTGACCTTATTGGAAAAAGGGTCTTTGCAGATGTAAGTTAAGGATCTCAGTAAAATAATTCTTGGTTACCTGGGTGGGCCTTAAATCGAATCACACGTGTCCTTACAAGAGATGCACAGGGGAGAGACGGGCGAAAAAGGGAAGGCCATGTGAAGACAAGCCACAAACCAAGGAACACCTAGTTACCTAGTGTGGTAGTTATAGTAGTTATAGGAAACGAAGACACCCCCTCTGGTGTCTGAGCAGGGCTCAGTGGGCATCTGGGCCTCCACCCGCACCTGGCATCAACAAGTTAAAACAAGGTAGTGGGAGATGGGATAGTCAGCACACCTCCCTCCTACCTCCGCCACCCAGGTGTCACTTCAATCTAGGATTCTGTGATATATGCCTGGTGCAAATGCAGCTCCTCTTGATCCAGAGACCTATGAAATAAAGAGACAAGTTAACTGCCCTTCTGCCTACACACAGACACACACACACACACACACACACACACACACTATACAATTATAAAAAAGGAACAGGAAACCCCAGTAAACATACCCATTGGAAAGGGGGAAGAATATAGTCACTGGTTCAGAACAATTCTGATATCCCACTGGGCCTCATTCTGGCCATGGGGAAATGTTCCCAGACTAGACCCTGGTCCTGCTCGCTGGGACTTGCTCCCTGACTCACTGTTCTCCACTGAGAACAATGGTTTTCGTGACACTGCCTGAGGTGTCGCTGTCTGAGATGTCCTCCTTTTCCATCCTCTTCCTCTATTCTTTCTGAAGAAATAATCCTTGTTTGTAGCTGATTAACTTTCTTAGGCTGCTTCCTATACAAAAACAGTAAAGGGCCAAGAGGCATTTTTATAGCTTCATCCATCTTTTAGGCAAGTTGGTGTTTTTGCCAGTACCCCGCTCTTTCAAACTTTGAGTTTTCTATATCTGGTTATGGTCTATTATATACCCTAAAGCCACACCTAGAAGTGGTATCAACATATGCTTTTCTAGATGTTCTTACTGCCACTTTTGGATCAGGCTTCTGTGGGACCAAACCCTTGGGCTTTTGTCCACTTGAAAAATCTACTCAACAGAAAAATCTACTTAACTCTCAGAAGTCTTATCAAAATGTCTGATGGTCACAATCTTGAAGTTGGACTTGTGCTCACGTCTTACTTTGAGACTTTGCTACCTGTGTGGCTAGAGATAAGACAACAGTTTTGTTTTCCAATTTAGTAGTTCTGGCTCTCTATATTACCTTTAACTTCTGCTTGCAACCTAAGTGCGTATTTCCACCCCCTAAAGCTCAACTTTTTCTTTGGTACTTCAGCCTATACAGCTAACACCCACCAGGTGGCGCTCTCTACATTCTACCTGGAGATATCCTTGCCCAAAGTCAAAGTTCATTAGGTTTATTTTGTTTTCCAAGGTACATAGGCAGCTATTTTAGCAAATGTTTCACAAAACAGCTTTTTAATAATGCCACAAAATAACCACACATTCTTTTCTCGACTCAAAAAGAATACATTGTCATTATAAAGTTATCAAGCATTTATCCTTTATATATATATTCATATATGTATATTTATTTAATCCTCCCCCGAGGATATTTTCTCATTAATTTTTAGAGAGTGGAAGAAAGAGCGAAAGACAGAAATATTAATGTGAAACACACTGACTGATTGCCTTCTGCATGCGCCCCGACCAGGGCCTGGGCTGGGGAGGAGCCTGTAACCAAAGTGCATGCCCTTGACCAGAATTGAACCTGGGAGCCTATGGTCCAGAGGCCGATGCTCTATCCACTGAGCCAAACTGGCTAGGGCTATTCTTTCAATATTGATATCAACTGTCAACCTCTTTCCCTATTCAGTAGTTACTATTGCTAATAATTGTTTTCTACATAAAATAGCTTTCATATGCCGAAACCGGTTTGGCTCAGTGGATGGAGCGTCGGCCTGCGGACTGAGAGGTCCCGGGTTCGATTCCGGTCAAGGGCATGTACCTGGGTTGCGGGCATATCCCCAGTGGGAGATGTGCGGGAGGCGGCTGATCGATGTTTCTCTCTCATTGATGTTTCTAACTCTCTCTCTCCCTTCTTCTCTGTAAAAAATCAATAAAATATATTTAAAAAAATAGCTTTCATAATCATTGATTAACGAACATTTTACTTTGAAATATAACTAAAATTTATACTTTGAAGGAATTATTAGAGAAAGCTTATGGTTGTTTTTTTTTTTTATGTTGAGCCTCTCAAATAGAGGCTAATAATAAATTTGAATTAATGCCTTATTTTAATGACTGGAATCAATACTGACTATACGTATATAATGGTAACCCTACATATTCACATGATAATTCCATACAAAATTTCAGTGATGTCACAAATGATCCTGAACTAGTTGATTATTCAGCTACCCAAAGGCAAATAACTGAATTTGGCTGAATACCAAGACTAAAGCTAAACCTTAGTGTACCCTTAAATATTCAGATATTGGGAGTGTGCACTTCCCAATTCTTTTCACTGTTAGGGTGTTACATCAAAGTTGTTGTCTATAATGAACCAGAATACGATAGTCTGGCTACATCTAAAGATGGAATATTCTACTATTAATATCTCAAAATTTTCTATCAGTATAATTAGTTTACATAAATCAACTGCAGGCTGAATTTTATTACAGTACAAATTTGTAATATGGGACAAAAAGAAATTGCTACTATGACACAAGTAACCACTTTATAAAAATTCCGTAGTAACTTACGTTTTTTAAAAAAATGTTTTCTTTTATTATTGATTTCAGAGAGGAAGGAAAAGGGAGAGAAACATCAACGATGAGAATCATCTATCGGCTGCCTCCTGCATGCCCCACACTGGGGTTCAAACCTACAACCTGGGCATGTGCCCTGATCGGGAATTGAACTGTAACTTCCTGGTTCATAGGTTGATGCTCAACCACTGAGCCATGCCGGCCAGCCTATATGTATTTTATATTTATGCATATGCAAACAGACATACATACACATATAGTTGAAAGATTCTGTGTATCCAGAATCCTGCCTTGCTTCTAATTAGAGACGACGGAAAACAGAAAAACATGCAGCCTCGGGTTGACTGCACCTAGTCTTCTGGTTGCAAATTAGGTTACACCCATTGGCTGAAGTCTGGTGGGAGTTGTGGGGCAAAGCCACTTTTCTCATTTGTTGTTGTTGTTGTTTCTGCTGGCTATCGAGGACAAGGAAAAGTGAGGCTTCCCCCCCCCCCCCCCCCCATGTTCCAGTGTCCACCTGCCAGAGTCTTGTGTGCAAAAGGTGACTCATCAATGACAGAGGGGGCAGCAGCTTCCTGATCACGGGGTCACAGTGGTGGGCGACTGCTCTCCAGCTCCTAGATGTTGAGAAGCAGTGGCAGTGGTGACAGTGTATGGACTCCAGCTGCTGGCATTCATAGTTCCACTGATTGCTTCTAGAGACAGCTCACCGGTGGACTGGTTC